AAATCACAGATGGCGCAGGGGGTCCCTCTGCAGTCAATTAGGCCCCCAGAAAGCATAAATCCAGGGGATTTCTGGAGTTTTACTTCGATTTCTTTATAATTATTGTACGAAAACGACAGGTGGAGTATGTCACTTAATGCAATGCCCAATATAATTCGACACAGCTGTCAATATAGAAACGTACTTCGGCAACGTAGGTATTTAGAAAAATCTTCTTTATCGACGTCGATCAAATTCTTCGACTTGTTTCACTTCACCTAAATTATTCTATACATTTTTCACAATATTTGGAAATTACTAGCGTTTAATAATACCCAACTATAAATTAAATACTTTTTTATACTATTATAAGTAGCACCTTAACCATTGTCGACGTACTCCATAAAAGTCAATGCTTTATGAGAACACGTGACCGTCTTACAAGAAGATCGATCGACCCGATACAATAATTTGTTGGCTATGGTGACCTTGATCTCCAAACTTGGAAAAATATTCCGTCACGAATACAGCCACGCCTCTGTCACGCGTTTTGGTTCTTTAACGACCCACTCGTGCAACTTTGAAATTCAGGGTCGTCGCACGCTGGAATGGCAGAAGAAATGGTAATTCCGCAAGATTGACGTTCATGGCATAAACAACGATGATTGGGACATTGAATTCATCTTAAACGACCTCGAGAGATCGATTGCCACATATAGTGATGCAGCATTAAAACGTTTCCATGAAAGCGAAATTTTATGCCCATTGTTTCATTCTGACAATAAATCTGTATACACGCTTCTGTATACTACAACTCTATACTATAACACTATGCACTTGTATATATCTTAATCCTATATAATAATATATATAACAGGCAACGTCGGTCTGTCTGCGATGATGTCGGAAAATACCGAACCGATGTTTCTATAGTTTTCGAAATCATATAGAGACAACATTTTGGAAGGCTGTAGGCGATATGAGCCCATAATTATGAAAGTGGTCTAAGTCAAAATTTAAAAGAAAAGAGTTTATCAGTTATTTCACCCCACATTATATTAAACTAAATTAATTCAATGTAATTTTTACGATATCGTCAAAAATGAACCATTGGATAGTGGTTGTAATTTCAACATTATATGGAATTCATTTGGTGTTAATTATGAAAGTGGTCTAAGTGAAAAATTTAAAGAAATTATATAAACGTAACCTTAACATGGCACGTGGCCCTGGCACATATGTGCCCATAATTATGAAAGTGGTCTAAGTCATATATTTCTTGTTTCGAGATATTTAATGAATTGCATTTGAATAAATGAAAAAGCATTTTTATATCATGCAACGTTTTAATTTAGAATTTTGTTATTGATTAATGGAAATTTATTATGAATATGAGATTTTCTGTGAATTTCATACGATAGCTATACATTTAAATGCAAGTGCATTGTTAGCCGACAACAAATTGACTATGTGTAAAAAGTATTTTTTTCGAGCGATCATGACGCTACAAAAGCTATGAAATTAATTTTACGTTCCAGTCTAGGTCAGTGTTCAGACTTACGGTCGTAACGTAGTGGAGTCTCCACATATAATTAATTTATTAACACATTAAATATATTTAATGCCCTCAAATCCTTTGCTGAACGCGCTTAGCTGGATTTACATCTCGTTTGCGAGAAAACCGGACACTGCTATCCTTTTAGTAGCAGAATTATAACATCATTTCCCGTGCGTTGCTCCATTTAAATAACGGGTTTGCTTAAATAAGCGGTACACTTGATATTCATTCCCACAGCATTGATTTCTAACACCTGCATCCTCATTCCACGTAATTGTGTATGAGATTGAAAGCAACCGAGTGCTCAACAATCTTAGCCAAATCCAGCCTTAATTTTAACAGTCGCTTCATTTAAGGTGAAGTAAAATATCCTTCAAATCAGTAGATTTTAATACAACACTTTTTTTTAAGGGTATTAGACCAAACCGTCCGTAACTTTGACACATCACTCCTGATCATCTAAGAATTGTCCTGACACATTGAAAATTTGGATTTTTCAAAAAAATTTTTTAACTCAGCCTAGACCAGAACCAAAATGGCGTCGAGCTCTCATATTTCGATCAATATACAATTATCGAAGGCTCTGATATGAGAATCGAAAGGGTCAGGACAATTTTACGACAATTTAGATCGATAAACGATTATTCTGAGGCCCTAATTGACTCTGCGCCATCTGTGATTTCCGTGTCAACTAAATTTTCACTCCGAAACCTCATATTACCATGGTTTTAGCAGAGAAGCGCCTTTTTTTACCTTTATCCCGTTTAAATGCGAACTTATTGATTACCAGAGTGTTCTAAATTGTCGTACAATTGTCCTGACCCTTTTGTTTCTCATATCGGAGCCTTCGATAATTGTATTTTGATCGAAATATGAGAGCTGGATGTCATTTTGATTCTGGTCTGGACTACGTTAAAAATGTTTGTTTAAATCTAAATTTTTAAAGTGTCAGGATAATTCCTAAGTGCTCACGAGTCGTGTCAAAGTTTCTGACAGTTCTATCCAATACCATTAAAAAAAAGTGTCTTATTTGAGTCGACTGATTTGAGGAGAATTTTACTTCACCTTAACTCAATTCATAAGAACTGGGGTTGAACGATGTTAATATTATTTTCCCGGTTAAAAATTAAATGACTTATCCAAAACCGTTTTAATTCCTCGATGATAGTTTTTTCCCGATCTATGAGGTGTTATGTCTTTCTTCAAAGTACAGAATGTGAATGCAGTACTGCGATTCTCGGCGTAATTATGTTCACTTTCCGAGTATCTTTAACCAGAAGGAAATCAAGGATGAGTTTGACGATACGTAGAATCACGTAAAATGAAGTGGCTTATCCAAAACCGTTTTCATTCGTCGATGATAGTTTTGTCCTGATCTAGGAGATGTTATGTCTTTCTTCAAAGTGCAGAGTGTGAATGCAGTACTGCGACTCTCGGCGTAATTATGTTCACTTTCCGAGTATCTTTAACTAGAAAGAAGTCAAGGATGAGTTTTGACAATACCTAGAATCACGTTAAATTAAGTGGCTTATCCAAAACCGTTTTAATTCCTCGATGATAGTTTTTTCCCGATCTATGAGGTGTTATGTCTTTCTTCAAAGTACAGAATGTGAATGCAGTACTGCGATTCTCGGCGTAATTATGTTCACTTTCCGAGTATCTTTAACCAGAAGGAAGTCAAGGATGAGTTTGACGATACGTAGGATCACGTAAAATTAAGTGGCTTATCCAAAACCGTTTTCATTCGTCGATGATAGTTTTGTCCTGATCTAGGAGATGTTATGTCTTTCTTCAAAGTGCAGAGTGTCAATACAGTATTGCAACTTTCGGCGTAATTATATTCACTTTCCGAGTATCTTTAACCAGAAGGAAGTCAAGGATGAGTTTTGACGATACGTAGAATCACGTTAAATTAAGTGGCTTATCCAAAACCGTTTTAATTCCTCGATGATAGTTTTTTCCCGATCTATGAGGTGTTATGTCTTTCTTCAAAGTACAGAATGTGAATGCAGTACTGCGATTCTCGGCGTAATTATGTTCACTTTCCGAGTATCTTTAACCAGAAGGAAGTCAAGGATGAGTTTGACGATACCTAGAGTCACGTCAAATTAAGTGGGTTATCCAAAACCGTTTTAATACCTCGATGAAAGTTTTGTCCTGGTCTATGAGATGTTATGTCTTTCTTCAAAGTGCAGAGTGTGAATGCAGTACTGCGATTCTCGGCGTAATTATGTTCACTTTCCGAGTATCTTTAACCAGAAGGAAGTCAAGGATGAGTTTGACGATACGTAGAGTCACGTGCCAGTTAATTTCTCACGAAACACGAGCGCCACAGGTAAACCTCTTTGGCTGTGAGATCGGCAGACGTTACGTGTCGTCGTCTTCCAAAGGATTTCCAAGTTGTCCCGTAATTACGGCAATAACATAATGACGTTATGCCAACATGACCACGGACCGACATTAGGAGTCCCTTTACTATCGATTGTCTTCTCTCGTTTTTATTTCATCGCGCGAGATTCTGGAAGGAAATACTGTTATTACTTCGAACATTAGGATATGAAATCATGAAATATCCTACCTAAAGTCGTGTTTCAATTTTCTTGTTTGAAACATTGACGCATTCCGTTGAGCTCGGAAACCTGATAATGTCATTTTCTCGTTTTAAATCTCGTTTTTATTTCATTGCGCGCAACGCTGGAAGGAAATACTGTTATTACTCCGAACATTAGAACATGAAATCATGAAATATTCTACCTAACGTCGTGTTACAATTTTCTTATTTGAAAAATTGACGCATTCCGTTGGGCTCGGAAACCTAATGTCATTTTTTCGTTTTAAATCTCGTTTTTATTTCATTGCGCGCAACGCTGGAAGGAAATACCGTTATTACTCCGAACATTAGGACATGAAATCATGAAATATTCTACCTAAAGTCGTGTTTCAATTTTCTTGTTTGAAAAATTCATGCATTGCGTTGAGCTCGGAAACCTGATAATGTCAGGGAAAACTGTAATTATCGAGATATCCCAAAAATTAATAAGTAGCCATACTTTATATAACCATGGTCAGATATCCACACCTTTAAATTCCAAAATTAACATCTTTAATAACAAAATTCAATTCTGAAACAGCTAACATCTACGAGTATTGTCGATATACGATTTTTTTGCTTCCTATATTCAAGATGTATATGTTAGGAATACGTGTTATACATACAATTTTTGCTAAACAAACCATGTAACCATGTATTAGAACTATGGAGTCTTCTAATGACCACGATCAGGTAACGTGGTTTGTTTATTGAAAATTGGATATATGACACGTATCCATAATTTCACACCTCCGCGTTCCAACTTTCTTAGTATTAAATTTTATCCCGCCCTCTTGATATTCGAATGCTGCAATTATTCATATCCTAACTAAAATAAATAATGTTAACCAAACCGAAATGATCTTGTTTCAGGTTTGTACGGAACGCTGTTCAGGCGTAACAAGGAGGCGGCCTTCTCGAACTACAGGCTGTGGGAAAGCGCGGGCTTTGTTGTGGCGTACGCTTACAGCACGCACTTGTGCGCACGCATGAAGCTGTACGTGATGCTGATCGTGCTGATTATCGGTTCAATTGGCTACGTCATAGTTGAGCTTCTACACCGGCGCAAGCAGAAGAGGCTCAAAGCCATAGCCGAGGATCCGAAAGCGGCCCAAGTGGAGGCCAACCAACCGGAAGAAACGGACGACGAGAAGGACGACATCGACGACGACATCATCATCACCCATCTGTGAATACGGACCTCTGTCCGACCGCCGTGGTCGAATTTCGCCCCGTTGCCGTAGGGGCGCGCTGCGGTCGAAGGTAGCGTCCGAAAATGGCCGCCCGATCGACTCTATCGCGTATTCGAGTGGTTTGCCTTTGGTACTAGCGAAACGGCTGTTAAGATTCTCCCTCGGATACGTGCATCGTTCTCGCAGCCATCTTCAGGGTAACGTGCCTCCTCGACCCCACCTGGATCACCGAACCACGCAAGAAAGTCCCTTGACACGCAGGGATAAGTGATCCGTGATGCGAGTGCGGCTCGAAGGCCTGTCCGGTCGAGAAGGCACTGCGATTAGTTCCGGGCACGGCGCGTGGGGCGCGGGCATCGCTCACCGGCAGAGGTGCTCCACCTCGCAAGTTCGATGCGACTTGTCCGACGATCCGGCGCTTCGTTGGACATCGCGTAGAGTCGAATGGACACCGGGCTCGTGATAGACGGTAATCCAATACACTGAAATCGGAATTTCAAAGCCGAAGTCGAAGTTGACGCTCGATTTCGGACAGCGGCCCCGCCCGTGCGTCGCCATCTTGGTCGCTGGCCGCCATTGCGAGCCAGCGACGCTTCGCGAAGGGATTAGCGAATCTCGAAACAGTATTCTTTATATTCATCCCCCGAGACTAGGTTTTGTCGAGGAACGTGCAATATTTGTAGGTCGTCGACGACGCGTCGTTATCCGTCCCCAGGATACGGTAGTTCAACGGCCATTATTGTGGCTACTCATAGGCTAGGGTCTTATGCAAATGGCCGCTAAAAGTAACCCGTGAACGCAGAGTACTGCGGGCTAGATTTCGAAATTACACGTAACGATGCAGGACGTGCATCGTTACGTGTAACTTTGGAATTAGTATTTCGAGATCTACTATCCGCTGGATGACGCTATCCGAAGTTATAAATATTTAGAGCGCAAGAATTATGTTACTTAAAAGTGTAGATCACAATAGATATTACGTGTAATTATAGAATTAGTACCATAGAGACTTACAGACCGCTGAATATCTCCGTTTAAAAGTACTGAGCGGCCGGTCTGAAAATTACATGTAATATTACATAGAGGATGTTAAATGTAGCTCAGAAGTTAATTATTTTTACTCATGGACCACTGAAAGTCTGTTGGAATTTGCGCAATGTGCAGGGTTCAACAATTATATGTAATATTTTAAAGGAGTGTAAATTGTGGGAAAATAGTAATATCACATGTAATTGTAGAATCAACGCGTTCAACTGGTGATGTTGCCCTGTACGAAACGTCAATGCGAACTTGATATCTAAATCGGATGAATTTATATGTTAACCATTTTATTGAAATGATAAAGATAGGCTAAATTTCTTTACTATGTAATTTTGTCAATTTTGTTACTAGCGACGGCAACAAAGTTTGTAAAATATTCCTGCGGTGCTCGACTAAGGATTATGTAGCACAAGCACTAATTGGTATTTTCAGTGACCGTCTGGGTAAGATCCTTATAAATTTACGTTCCCATCTTACCGATCGGACGAGTATGCCGGAAACATTAATAAGAATCCTCTGAGAAATGTCCTGGAAGATCCTACCGTTAAAATACCGGCTTGTGCTTTGAGAGAAAAAGATCTAAAAAATATGAGGAAGAAGTAAACAAAAAAAAGATAGAGAGCTAATGAAACGTGGTAAGGAGAGATGCTATCTCAGTGCGAATCTCGATAAGTAAGGAACCGAATGTTTTACCGAACGAAATATGAAAATGATTTCTCTCGATGGTGAAACCCGAGGGAAGGAAGTACGATGTTTATATATGAGATTTATCAATTTGAGAGTAGTATAAAAAGGTTGAAATGTGAAAAATGCTCTTGTGTTTCGTTGGCCTTTATGTCGAAAGTGCAAAGAGTTAGCGCAAAAAATGCGAGTCTCCGTTGAAAATAACATGGATTAACATTTTTCGCATATTCCGAAACGAATGTGCAGTAAGTTAATCACTTTCTACAAAACTCGCAAACGTTTCCACCTATATGCGATACTCATGTAGGAATTTGCAGTGCCAAATCTCTTACACCGATACCACTATCACTATTATTCATATGTCAGTGATTACTGCTTGGGTGATTATGAGAATTCCGCAGGGATAATGCGAGATGTCTTATACACGTGTATCTCTACAGTAAAGGAGACATGGAGAGATGAGAATCTCATTTTATAAAGATAACGAAGCGAAAGTATTGTTCGCGACAGTGAATGACAATTTTAAAGTCAACACCGAGCTACCATATTTCTTATGAAATGATTTTTCACGACCCGAAGTGTGGCCTTATTATACTACTCTCATCTCCGGACGTGCAGAGAATATGTTTAAACTCCTTGATCTTTTGTTTTATTTAAATACCACGATCTGATCGCTTAACATGAATGTTTTATTCGAAATACCAAATGGAAGCCCACTGGTCTGTTTATATTCAATGGACAAGTAATCCTATATGATTATAATACTGTCATTGTTGATGTTACCTACGTATTAAAAACCATATAAAATGTAATTTCTATCTAGAATGATTACGTGTAAATTAAATTACTTACACTTAATTTTGCTTGAATTTCTTTACCGAAATGCTACACTACGGCTGGCTGATTATCTCGTGGAAATAACATCAAATTAGATTTTGCCCACTACCGAAGAGAGTATATTTTATTAATAATTATGAAGATATTCAAAGCTCATTTGACGATTTATTTCCATGTGTTATAACCAGCCCTGTAACTATTTTTTAATATTACCCTCCTGCTTCCAATCGGACCCACAATTTATGAATTTTGCATTCAACGCGACATTCTTACCAAGTTTATTAAATATTACGGATCGTCCTTTTCCATCGATTCTTTCGAGAGCAGGGACAAACGACGTTCATTAATAATTATGAAGAAATTCAAAGCTCATTTGACGATTTATTTCCATATGTTATAACGAGCCCTGTAACTATTTTATAATATTACACTCCTGCTTCCAATCGGATGCACAATTTATGAATTTTGCATTCAACGCGACATTTTTACCAATTTTATTAAATATGAGGGACCGTACTTTCCATCGATTCTTTCGAGAGCAAGGACAAACGACGTTCTCTTTCGCGAAGACAGAATGCGATATAAACTCGAATAAGGATGAAATATTTTTTAACGGGATTTTCTCAGTTTCTTTACATCTTTTATCATGAAAAGAAGCACAAGCTGATAGCTGATTAAAGTGCCTTTTTTGCATACACAACGGATGTTTATTAGAAAACCGCCATTGGAAACACATGTTTTATCTGCTACCTTCAATCGTTGGTAGATTACCTCACTGATAAGTCATATCTCTGTCATTGTGGTTATTTCTGTACGTCAATCTAGCCTATTGGCATTAAGGTGAAGTGAAACGCGAAGAGGAACTTGATCGACGTCGATGAAGAAGATTTTTCTAAATACCTACGTTGCCGACATTCGTTTTTATATTGATAGCTGGGTCGAATTACATTGGGTATTGCATTAAGTGGCATGCTCCACCAGTCGTTTTCGTACAATAATTATAAAGAAATCGAGGTAAAACTCCAGAAATCCTCTGGATTCATGCTTTCTGGGGCCCTAATTGACTGCAGAGGGACACCCTGCGCCATCTGTGATTTCCAGGTCAATTAAATTTTCACTCCGAGACCTCGTATTTCCATCGTTTTGGTATAGAAACGCATAAAACACTTTCTTTGCCTTTATCCCGTTCAAATGCGAGTTTATCAACTACCCGAATGTTCTAAATTGTGGAAAAATTGTCCTGACCCTTTCGATTCTCATATCAGAGCCTTCGATAATTTCACATTGATCGAAATATGAGAGCTCGACGCCATTTTGGTTCTGGTCTGGGCTAAGTTAAAAACATTTTGTCAAAAAATCCAAATTTTGAATGTATCAGGACAATGCTTAGATGATCACGAGTCACGTGTCAAAGTTTCGGTCAGTTTAGTCCAATACCCTTAAAAAAATGTGTGGTATTCGAATCGACTGATTTGAAGGGCGTTTCACTTTACCTTAAGAGACAAATATGAGAAACTCTTGGAAGGAGGACATAACATATTACGGTACTAGTATTATAAGGTACCTCCATAAACAAATTAATTAAGAGTTCCCTTGAGATTGCAATTCTTGCACCCCCAAGTCTACCTAAACTTCTGAAAATCCGATAGCAAAGTTAAACTCTTATTTTTTCTCGCTCCCCTTCCTCATTCTCTTCGTAGCTTTTCCATGAGTTGGCGATTAAGTTATGAGAAAAAAAGAAAATGTCTACCTTCGCTCTAACTGGGCTCATAGTAGATGCCATAATCAAACAACACCTTCGTCTACGATCGCAATTACCTGTGGGATATTTCCACCGACGCAAGGACGATCGACATCGCGTTTAATACGAGACGATACAGAAACGACGATTAATCATACAAACCTCTATCTCTCTCCTTCCAGTTAACGTTTTTCTCGCTACCTCGAAGAACCCCACAAAAACCAGAACAGGAAACTCGAGGATCTAGTCCTACGACACGCCTCCTTTTTCTATTTATATACATATTTAACTGTACAGACTTACCCACACGACGGCAAAATGATACCGATTGGACGTGATCATATAATATACACGTGGAAATCGAAATCGATATCAAATAACGTATTTTCCACCGTTATCGAACCGCTCAGGCAGTGCTTCTTGCGCTACACTTCCATTAACTGTAAATTATTTATATGTTAATTAGTAACTGTCGTTTGATATCTAACAAAATGTGTAGGTCAACTCGTAATACGTTCATACACGGAAAAAAATAATTCGGTTAGAATTACTATGGTGACATGATTAAAATACCGCGGTAAATTAACAAGTCTGTTACAATGGTTTCTTCCTTTCCACTTTCTGGTCTTTTTTCTCTAAAGTTTTCCTAAATTCATTGAAATAATATTATTTACAGTTCAAGCAGAAAATAGTATGTACAAATTATTAGCATTTCATTCCGTACACGCATACAAACAAAGAAACTAATACACTGGCGGTTCAATGGCAATCATTTAATTCCGTTCTATCCACTTTATTAAATTAAATCGCATCATTAATTGCCTTGTTCTTTCTCTTCTCTTCTCTTACTTTTTCAGTATTTCCATAATCTAGAAATCCCAACATGTGGAAATTTTCAATACACAGTTGTTTACTAAAACAACTTTTCATTACAATGCCAGTTCTACAATTTATAATATCACAAATACGTTAAAAAATTATTCAAACTAATTGCACCATTTTCCATTGTTCTTAATTTTACACATTTTTTACTTGCTACAAAGGGAACGCAATAATGTGATTTATACACATTGCAAAAACGGCTGGTGTTTATTTAAGTCTACATGAATTCTACATTTCGTAATCCAATCAAGAAGACGAAACAAAGAAATATTCCACTGCATTGTCCCGTTTCTCCACCTCATTGTTCTTTCCAACTCTTGACATTCTATCTGCAAAGGCGATGTGACCAAATAATTGCAAAATCTGACACGCAACCAATACCAATGATAGCCTGTACTTAAGGTGATGTGAAAGTGGCGTCGAAGAGGTTTTGTTTATAAAACTTTTCTCCCAACTCGGTTTACCAAATAGTCTGAAACGTTACAACGTAAATAGGGAGACTATAAGGAAGGTCCTGAAACTCAGGGAATTTCAATTGTTTTCTAATTTGTTTATAGGCTTTTTAAAAATAGTTTATAAGAAATGAAATTTTGAGAGTTTTAGGACCTACCTTAGGGTCTCCATATTCACGTTTTAAAGTATGAAACGATTTGAGACACCCAGTTCTATGAAAAGTTTTATGAACGATTGAGCTGTCGGATGCCACTTTCACATCCCCTTAAATTTAGTCTACTTTCTGCTGATGTCTCTAATGTGCTAATGTTTGCGCCGTCTGAAAATGAGCGCTGAGATAAATCCCTGGCGGGTAAATTCAGAGTTCGTTGAATTTGCACCACGCACGAGTTTAAATAAAAACAACAATAACAATTTATTGTACTAATAAAATAACGGATAGAGAATACAATTTGTCGATGTGGATTCGCGGTACAATCGCGTGTCCGGGTTACGACCTAAGTCCGAATGTCTTCGAATGTACATCCGAATTGTTCGAATTCCTAGTTAAGCCTGAATCTTAAGGGCGCTCACTACTCCAGCGATTTTACAGGGCCTCACGGGGACAACGATTCCGAATGTATTTCTAAACCGATCGAGCTTAACGAGTGCTCATATCGAAGATGAAACGTTGACCTGTGTTTATATGGGAGCGATTTTCGATAAGTGGTCATTTTCATATAAAAAAGTGCTATGACATAATTTCAATGCCCTTTTAACTAGGAAGGAGGTGCTTGATCGAAAATCGCTCCCATATAAACACACGTCAACGTTTCATCTTTAAAACGAGCACTCGTTGAGCTCAATCGGTTGAGAAATACGCTCAAAATCGTTGTCCCCGTGGAGCACCTTTTTCAGGATTTTCGAGTTTCTCTCGAGGAATTTGGGCATTCCTTGGCAATCGTTGCCGGCTCTAGGCGGAGCGTCCACCTGGCGTGTGCGTGCGGCCGGGGGTCACACACGTTTCGGCGCCTAGTCTAGAGGCGTCTAGCCGTTGCGTGAGTCCTATACGTGCAAAATACGCACACGTTTTCGCCCGTTGCTAAACACCGCCTATTATGCGTCGCGTCTCTCTCACCCGAGCGAGAAAGTACGTTTTGGTTACCTCCCACCGAATTCGATGCTAATACCATCTAGCGGTGGAAGTCATCGTCCCCACTTTGGTGGTTAACGCCGTTAAAAAATATGGAAAGTTGCATTCTCGATGCACTTTCTTCCCTTTCCTCTGTCGAAACCTAGGAAGGGATGCACTTGGGATGCCTGGAGCGTCGATAGCCCATCCGCGTTAATTATTAGTATAAACTTAATCTTTTGTAATCGCTCGAGTCAAGGCCCACGGAAACTCGAGGTCCTTCCCACATGTACCGAAGGACCCGAGCAATCCTCGAAAGGGGGGCAATAAAACTTGAGTCCGAGCATTCTCAAAGGGTCTCTTTTCGAGGGTTTTCGCCGAAGGTACACGACGACGTCTGGCGAACAGATTTTTTAACTTTCTAAAAATTCCAAAGCCCGCTTCTGGCGACCAGACGTCACTCGAGGGTTTTTTCCGCGAATCCGCGGCCTACGTGACCGCCATTTCGCGGGTGCCTTCGAGGGCGGAAACCCTTCGGGAAGTTTTCCCTGCCAATGAGAATGCTCGACTCAAGGTCCGACTTCCTCCCTCCACCGAGTTGGAGGGAGAACTATGCATTCGGATACTTTTTAAGAATTTTTGTAAAAAGCAGATACCAACCGAAAGTTGCCGAGACAACATCGGATCTGAAAAACGTTGCCGAGTCAACGTCCAAAAAGTCCAGCTGCCGAGCCAACTGAGAACTTGATCATTTCGTTGCCGAGTCAACGCAAGTGCGAAGACCAGTTGCCGAGTCAACTGATCAACGTCGTAAAATCACGCATCTTCCCTTGT